AACCGTCCATTCACACACATATGTTGTTTGATATAATTACTATCACAATATTTAATAAATTATTTTTGATACTCAAAATGGTGCACATGTTACCGTACATTTTTAAAAAAATAATATAAATGTTTTCCAAAACTGTCATATGTGATCTATATATATATAATAAGAATTACTATTTACCATAAATAGTAACTAGAAATTTTAGGACAACATTAATTGCTTACTATTTTTGGATTTTTTTTCTTTTTTCTTTTACATAAAAACGAATCATCATTTATGAATTAGGAGGCCTACAAATTAGGAATCTACTTTGAATACAAATTGAAATCGGATATATCCTAAAATAAAGGAATTTGTTTATTCCCCCATCATACAATCCTATATATCAATACCATTAAATTCGAATTTTTTTTTTTTTTTTTTTTTTTTTTTTTGTACATAAAACTGAATAAGCCGAATCAGCCTTTATGACTTAGGCAGCCTACAAATTTGGGAATCTAATTTGAAATAAAAATTGAAATTTGATATCTCCTAAAATAAAGGAAGTTGTTGATTCCTCATAATACAATCCATATCAAAATATGGATTTTACATATTTTATGCGCACATGCAGACTGCTAGAATAAATGAAAGCATTTTATCATTGTTTACGTAATTACTTATTTTTTTTAATGTTTTCTAATTTAGTCATTGTTTAACGTTAATCTAGACTATCACTACCACTATATACGTAGCAACATTAATACATAACATTCCATTCATATAAAAAGAATATATATATATATACAAAAAATATAACTATTCACATCCATCCATTCATATCGACGAAAAAAATAAAAGACAACAAATTCAGTCGATTTTACTTATAAAGCAATAATCTATATATATATATATAAGAAGAATTACTATTTATCAAAAATAGTAGCATAAAAATAGGTCAGAATTTAATGAAACCTATAAATTGTAAGTTTTATTGTTTTTCTTTAAAAATCATACATCATTAAATGTTACCTTAAATTTCGGGATTTAGTTCATTTTATTATTTAAAAAATTCGGCTAAGATTTATTAAATGTGTATGTTTTTATTTTTATTTTTTTTTCTTAGAAACAATGAACAACATTAAAATCTCGGTCTCTATATTTATAAAATCTCAATTCAAAATATAACAAAAGTTTTAGAATCTCGGTCTTTATATTTGTGCCTTTAAAAAAAATATTGAACGCTAAAAATATTCTTTAAATTGCATAATCAATCAATTAATCTTAATTTTTTGAAAATTACTATGCTTATTTTTTATTAATATGCATAAAGTACAAATAATAAATTCATCTTTAGATATATAATTTATAATCTTAATATAATATCATTTGGTGTAGACATTGATTATATGAATCATAAAATATTTTTATTTCATAAAATTAAATATATTTAAAGAAAATAAGAAAATTTCTTTAGATCAATCGCGTGATTGAATTAGGGTATTGCCCAGTTAATTGAATTACTTTTAGGTGATATTTAAAATAGTCAAAAAAACTGACACAACTTGGTTGGTCTCAGGTGACTAAGTATGTATCAGTTCGACCACACAAAATCGATTATTGAACCTAAATATAAATTTTATATTGAAAATATTTTATTACATGAATGTGATGTGTCCAAACTTCAAATAGTCGTATTAACAATACTTTTATGACAACATGTTTAATGATTTATGAATATTTATATATCATTTTATTAATATTTATGTGAATTAAATAATATTTTATTATAATATTTATTAATGTACAGTAAATATAAGGTTTTCAGAACTAGACCGTCATTAAAACGATCAAGCTATTTTATTAAATCATTTGTGGTTTGTTCAGATTTTAATTTGTAAACATTTTATTATATATGTATATATATAGTACGTTTTGTAATAAATTTAAATAAAATGTGTTACTTACATGTCTAAACAATTTATAAATTCAAATGTTTAAACTAATTAATAAATAATTTATAAATCTCTATTTTATTTAAATATGTAATTTTATTTAAAATAATTTTAAAATATAACAAAATTTATTTAGAAAATCGTATCGATCCTATCAGTCCAATCGACTTGTGTTGACGGATTTGAGAGCAAATATTTTATTCAAGCGAACTAGACTGGTTATAAACCGGTTCTCGGTCCATCCGATCAGATTGTGTCCAACCCGATTTAATTTAAAAATAATAGATAAATCATGATTAATGTTATTTATATATTTAATTTATAATATAATCGTAATATTATTTTCTCGTGCATCGCACGGGCCACGCACTAGTCTTACTTTTATTTGGCTTTTTAGTGCTCATTCAGCTGATAGTTTTTTTTTTTCTAGTACGTACATTTGTGCTTTTTTTTAATAAAATTTACTAGTACGACACCCGTGTACTACACGGGTTGTTTAAAAAGAGAAAAAATAAAGCATAAAATCATAATAAAAAAGACATATGTTGTCATATAAATGTGCACAAGTAAAAAATAAAAAGTCGATAATATTATTTCAAATTCTAAAAAATTTCTTTGTACACAACGTTAATAGTTTTATTTATAATTTTTCAATCCTTATCGAACATAAAATTTTTAAATCTCTCCTGCTTTTAATTCTAGATATTGCAACATAAACGTTGAGCATGACTGAATACATGATTAGGCAAATACAATCCAACGTTGGATAATGTTTCCCTTTAATCTTTATTATTAGTCATTGCAAAGTAAACCATAAATCTAAACTGTCTTCTTTGAAACTTGAATGACAATATGACATCAGAAAGACTCAATAACATATACGGAATAAGTAATTTTTTTGATAGAACATTAGCTTCAACAAAGGTGGAGAGAAATTCTACTTTATTTATTTAATAAATTATGGATAGTGACAATAAATCTTTATATATATTACAATCATGGAATAATAGATTTTTTTATTTTTTTATTTTATTTTGAATTAGAAGATGTATTCATTCTATCTTAATAAATCATGCCGCCTAATTAAACTTATATATAAACATGCCGAGCCTATATGTGTTTTTATTCATTCAATAATTAGTTGCTTTAGTTTCGTATACATTGACTTTAAAATACTGAATTGTATTAAATAAACTAGTACGTAACCCGTGCGATGCACGAGATGTAAAATTTGGAAAAATAATATAACCTCACGTGCATTAGGATCGAAATTGAAATCATTAAAATACATAGGAACATTGTTGAATCATAAAAAGTTCAGTAACAATCATATATTGTTAAAAACCTCATTGTACACAACATTATGAGTTTGATTATTTGGTAACTCCTCATTATCACAAACTAATATTTTCAAAAGAGACAAATCCTAAAAATCAAACTAATATTTTTTGTGAACAAACTAATATTTTAGGATTTCTAAGATTTGTCTCTTTTTGGTGAACAAACTAATATTTTAGGATTGGTTATATGAATAAGGCTACCTGTTTTTTGTGTTCTTCTCATTCATTTTCATTCAAACAATCCGATGACTTGTATAATGAACTCTGAATCTTAAGCCGAAATATTTAACAAAAGAGTTTTTAAAAATTGAAAAGTCAAGGCAATCAGTTCAGATTAATTAAAAGTCAAAGAATATCCGCTCCTTGAAATAAAGACGTGTGCTATCATTAACCAAATATACGGTTATTGATATAGAGTGGTTACCAAAAAATAGAACGCGATAAGGACACTTCGTGGAAATATCAATGGGATAAGGTCATAACATATCGCTATACATTTTAACGATAAAAGCTCAGATGGAATGATTTATGATAATTATGTCGTAATTAATGAATTAATTAAATATGTGAAAAGGACATAATTAATGAGAAGTGTGAAAAGGACATAATTAATTAGAAGTGTGAAAAGGACATAATTAATGAGAAGTGTGAAAAGGACCTAGATTTTGGAAAGTAATTAATGCAAAACTGACTTTGACCATTAATTAAGTTACTAATTTTGATAAATGTTAATTCTTATTATATAAGTATAGATGTGGCTATATGTATATCATAATTATGGAATGATAGAAATTTTAAAGTCGTAATTATATATTCTCAATTAGTGTCAAAAGATCATATTAGTTATTGTGATACATATAAAAAAAAGTCAATATAATTTATGAAAGATTGAATAAAATAATAATATCATAGTAACTTTACTTATAACTTAACTATTCAGGTAAAAAGAACTAAAAAAAAACATAGAATCCTAATTATCATCCAGTGGTTTTCGGATTGTGCGCTTTAATTATTGTGATAGGAGATTTAAGAATTCTATTCATTCTATAACACTTGAAAACATAAAACCTATTTATTTGGAAATATAATATATTAATTTATATCCGAACCAAAAGACGAAGCATAAAATATTGCCAATTAAGATTCCGAAGCGTGCGAGCCAACCATTTAGGCTCAACACGTTTTCAAATTATACGAAGAGGGGACATTGTTCCAGAAAACAAAAAAAAAAACATTTTAATTTTTATAAATATTACACGAGTGCTGTCAGATATCAATGCACGCCTCGCATAGATACCTATATTCCCGAATATTCGGCCAAAGTTTCTGAAAATCTGACCAAATGGAACCACCAATTTGTTTTTCTCTCACCCACCAGCAATTCACACCCTGCGTGTTGGTACGTGTCTGCAACTCATTGGCTATCACAAACAAGTCAACGCCATTTATACGAGCCTACGCTATTCCCAGCCACACCTAATCAAAATCACCTACCGTAGCTTCGCCGGTTCTTCCTCCCAGTCCCAGATCAACGGATGAGATCCGTCTGTCACATCACCAGTCATACAGCGCGTGAGACAAGCAAGCATCACCAAATTAATTCACGCCAGCAGCAATCCAGTGCAGCCCCAGAAATAACTAGAGCCCATCAGATGGAAGCACTTCATCATGTTGGCTCCACGCAGTGACACGTGTCGTCCAACTATTGGACAGACCTTTTGACCTTTGCCTGGACGCACACAGAAAATTGAAAACGCCGTGTGTGATGTAGAAAGGAAGGAGAACAAAAGTATGAGAATAAATGCATTTTTAAGGTTACATATATTTCTCTCTCCTCTCTCCACCATCTTCTCTTTCTGAAACAAACTTGTCGTTTTATCAATATTTTCTCTTCGCCGTTCTCAGAAATCTTAAAAACTGAGAAAAGATCGAGAAATATATCAAGTCACAGCGGCATATATAAACACACGTTAAATTCAAATTATATATATATTTGAGAGAGAGAGAAGGGGGGAAGGCATGGGTTGTTTCCCTTGCTCTGGAGAATCTTCCATTGATAAAAAGCAGTGTAGAAAGAGAACACACAATGGCAGCTCTAATCGGTGGAAAAAAGGCGACGATCATGGGCAAAAGTCTACTGGTATGTAAAAATCTGGGATCAAAACGTATTGTTATGAAATGGGCTGTCGACATTTTTGAATTTCTGTTTTTGGGTTTTCGTAAAGGTTTGATCTTTTTCATCGTTTCGTGTTTTTTTGTGTGCGTTAGACGTGGGTTTTTTCATGCGGACCATTTGGGGTGTTCTCTTTGTGTTTTTTCTTCTTGTTTTTTTGTGGGTTGTGGTTCGTCTTTGTCGTGGAGCAGGTATTCGTGTTGATTTGCATGCGCGTATTTTTGTTTCTTTTAATCGCGAACAAATTATGCAGATTCTGCCTAAATGATGCTTTGATTATCGTTATTGTTTTCTATTCAATTGGGCCCCTGATGTTTGTTCATATGCATGCCTGATTCCCTTTGGTTTCTTTATCCTTTTGAATCTACCATTGTGTGCGCTTGCTTTTGTTTCCTTTTGATTAGTAGTATATGATTTATATGCATGCATATATGTGTACCTTGTTTTGGGATTTAATTTCTGGTTAGGTTCATGCTTAAATTATTACCTGTATTGAGCTGAGTTGAAACAAATGTGATTTTGTAACTGTGTCAGGGGATGGAAGTGGCACAAATGGTGTAAAGCAATATATAATCTGATTTTGTATATGTAAATGTTATTTTGTATGCTTGCTATTTTGTGGACATTTGTGATTTTGTAAAGCAATATTATAGTTATCCTATAACGATGCTTTCTCCGAAATCACATTGGTTCTTCATTTTCATTTCCAATGCTTGTGATAATTCTCTCTATTAAGTTTTTGTTTCTTCATTGGTTTTCCTGTGTTGTGCTGCTTAGATTATTTAAGAGGAGTAAGCTCTGAGAAATCCGTAAAAAATGACCCTCAAGCTTCTAGTTTTGCGGGAGATTGTAATTCAAAGCGTAATCCTGATGTGGAAGTTAATGGCTTTAGTGCAAAAAACGCACGGCAATTTTCCTTAGTCGAATTAGTTGCCGCCACAGAGAATTTCAAGGCCGACTATTTTCTTGGCGAGGGAGGATTTGGAAAAGTTTACAAAGGTCAATTGCAAGACACAGGCGAGGTCAGTCGGGTGCATACATAGTTATATACCGAGTTATTTTATCTATGTATATATGTAATTATCATTTCTCATATTTAGTTTTTCTACGGTTAATCGATTGGTTAAATGTCATTTTTATGAAAGTTTTTGCATTGGTTTATGGTGCAGATTGTGGCTATCAAACAATTAGACCGTAATGGATGTCAAGGGATTAGAGAATTTGTTGTTGAGGTCGCAACATTAAGCAATGCCGAGCACTCTAATCTCGTCAAGCTAATCGGTTATTGTGCAGAGGGAGATCAAAGGCTTTTAGTCTACGAGTACATGCCGTTAGGATCTCTGGAGGACCATTTGCACGGTAAGATCAAGCTAATCGATTTTTTTTTTCTTGATTTTAGTTGTCTTTTTTTATGTTTTTTGGTTATGTATGTAAATTTATATGTTTAGGGCCTCGACACAATAAAAAGAAACTCGATTGGAACACAAGGATTAAGATAGCGGCTGGGGCGGCCGAAGGTTTAGAGTATTTGCACAATAAGATGGAACCACCAATCATATACCGTGATTTGAAGTGTTCAAACATTTTGCTTGGAGAGAAGTATTTCTCCAAGCTGTCGGATTTTGGGCTTGCTAAGGTGGGCCCACTGGGTGACGAAACCCATGTTTCGACGAGAGTGATGGGCACTTACGGATATTGCGCGCCCGATTACGCGATGACCGGTCAACTCACGTTCAAATCGGATATTTACAGTTTCGGTGTGGTGCTTTTGGAGATCGTGACTGGCCGGAGGGCTATCGACACCGGAAGGAATGGACCCGAGCAAAATCTAGTCGAGTGGGTTAGTATCTTTTGATTTTTTTTTTCGTTAAGTAGAATCGAGACAATATCGTGTTATGCTATGTTTGGTAACAAAATAAGCTAGCTTATAGCTTATTCAATTAGCTTATAAGCTTCCTGTATTCAAATAAGTTTCATTTGGTAGAACGAACTTTTTTAAAAAGGAGTTTATTGCATAAGCTTATTTGAGTAGCTTTTCAAATAAGCCCATGGAAATTTTTATTTCAGCTAGTTTATCAGCTAATTTTATCAAACACTTTAATCATATAAACTAGTTTTTTAGCTATAAATCATGACAAACTATAAGCTATAAGCTCCAGTTAGCTTATCAGCTATCAGATAGTTTATTAATTAGTTTTACCAAACATAGCTTCATGACTGATGAGAACTCACGAATTACATTCTTTAGCCACTTTTATAAACAAGTCTAGACGAACGAGAACATATTTTACTTATTTATTTACGTTTTTTTGTTTTGTGTTCGAGTATCTGCAGGCGAAACCATTGTTCAAGGACCGTAAAAAGTTCCACCTAATGGCTGATCGGGATCTCGAAGGGCAGTACCCGATGAGAGGCCTATACCAAGCGCTGGCCATATCTGCAATGTGCATCCAAGAGCAGCCCAGCTTGCGGCCTGCGATTACAGACATTGTTTCGGCACTCAAGTATCTTGCTTCTCAAAATTACGAACACAAAATCCATCCAATACCGAATCAAGAAACGGGCTTTTCCCCACCCAGCCTCAAAACGGATCATGATTATAGAGAAAATAAATGATATCCCGGCCATGTGAACGGAAGCACGAAAATGGGAGGACTACCTTGTAATTATTATAACAGTCCTATATTCTTTTTACCTTGTTTTTTTTTTGTCCTTTTGAAGTAATCTCTTCATGTGGCATTTTTATAAGAGTGGTTGTAAGAGTTCGCCTGTATACACCGGACCAGACTTCTTTCTTGGGAATATTTTCTGAATGAGATAATATATAATCTTTGTAGTGGTATTTTCAGCATTCCAGTTAGGTTCGAATATAATGATGCATGAATAGAATGTGATAACAATTTGGGTGGTTGCGGTCAATGGCTGTGGTGTGTTCGATTATGTTCGAATATTTTTTGTGTTTGTTCGTTGATTTTTTCCGAGCGAAAAGATCTTGTTATTCGAGCTCGTT